TAGAGAGGACAATTCTGAAATGGGAAAATACAATGGTACAGAACATGTAATAGAATGAAAAAAAAATTAAATGAATTTGTTTAATCACTTTTATTATCCCCCCTTCCTATGTATCTTGCTTTCTCTTACCAAAGTTTTCCTTTAACCTAGATTCTTGCTTTCTAAAAATGAAGCTTGTGAAACCCATGTTCTCAGGGAGTATAATCACAAAATGTCCATGCATAACTTATATAGAATTTGTGCAGATAAATAATGAGGCATACATCCCGAAGCTGCTAGCTGCTCTCTTTTTAAATAACCAAAATATCAGGCAGAGTTCTAAAATGTATTGATACAGTATAAAGAATCTTCAAAGTAAAATTCATCTTGAAATTATAGTTTATATTTTATACTTATAACCCTTCAACTTTGTAGAGCCTACAAGTAATATTTTCTTAAATTTTAACATATATGCATTTTTCTCAACCCTGATGTCTGGAGAATACAGATTGTTTGGTTTATTTATATTTATGAATATCACTGACCTGAATTGTTTTTTAATGTGTTTTCGCCTATACATTCCTCTGCTGAATCAGAGTGTAAATGAAAAAAGATACAAAGTTTTCCTCGCTTTCCTTTATTTGTGTTTATTACTGTCATAAGAAAATTCTAGATAACCAAACCCCTTATCTAGATTCAGTAAATTCTTTGTTCTCATTTCATGGTATGATAAGTAGATTTACATATACTGTAGATCAGCATTGGTACTCAAGATACTCATATTCATAGACAAAAGAACAATTCTTTAGAGGGATGCAATGTGATATTTGATGCATTTTACTTTGAAATTTGCTTTAATTTAAAATTTATATACTTATAGAATTTAAGATGATTCTGATTTCTACTTAGAATTAAAAAAAAAAACCCAAACAACAAAAAAACCACAATCAACTCCAACATTTTGGCTACTACGTGGATGACAGCCATAACATTTAAAAAAGTGTTATCCAAATTGTTTAAGGTACATATGGAAACATATTAGAATATTCTAAGACATCTACTGTCAGTGGTTTGTTAAAATGTAAATTCTCAAATCAAATGGTGCTATTGCTATAAACTTTAAAGTATTAACTAAGACTACTAAAAATATAATGTATACATAAACTCCCATTCAATTTTTATTGTTTCTTACAATGTTGCTTGAACATTCCCCTTGCACTTCATGCTGAGGTAACTGGTGATGTTAACTCCCAGCAGATCTGTTTTATAGCTCATACCCTCACTAGAAAAATTAAATTGGAAGGAATAAGATTATTATTCCACATATGTGAAAATAAGAGCTGTATTAATAAATAGTGACTTTTCTACCTTGTTCCCTGTGACGGGCATTCCAAATTAATAAACTGTAAAAGCAGGAAGAGGCATAAGGGAGTGAAATGTACTCCTTGATTATTCACCTAGTGACCATAAAAACTTGTTTCCAGGCCTGGGGCAAATGCAGTTCTAGGTGTCAAGAAGAGATTGGATAAATGGGGATTTCGTACTGGGTAGATTGATAAACCCTATAAACATAGCATACTATGTCCTTGCTTTCTTATGAGAAAAAGAACACAGTTCAGAAGGATGCTCAATGCTTCTACAATAGGCTTGCAGGATTATGCCTATTGTGTGTAACATAATTGTAGTATCACCTATAAAACAGCTGTGGATTGATTTGCTTCTATAAATTTATTAACCTACTTGTGATCCTTTTTTTTTCCCTGGCCATATTCTCTTTATACACATGTAGAAGAACATTTAATTATGTACCTGCACTGACATTCTTGATGCACTGCCCTTGCTTCTTTACAGAATGACATCTCACTTTGTAGCTAAATGATACTGGGATGAAGAAAGCTGAATATTTCTATGACTTGGTAATAGAACACAGATTTTATACTTGTTTAAAAGTAAGCCGTAGCATTTGCGTTAGTCATCACAAAACTTCCCATTATTAGACATTTTAAAATGCATTGCACTGAATATAAGTTTGTCTAAAGGGACATTTAAAAGAAAGGAAACCTCCTTACTTAGCCTAATTTTACTTGTATTTCCATTTGAATGGGGTTGAATAATTTCTTCTTCATACCAATAAACAGATGTATCAACAAGACACACTTTTAATGCATGGACCAAACTGCCTGCTTTCATACCTCATTGCTTGGTTCTAAACCAAGAGAAAAAGTTTCCCTACATATATATACAAAAAGTCAAAGAGTTCTTAGTGTTGTTTCAGCTATATACCATAGTCAAAGTGAATTGCTTTACTTTATATTTGGGAGGGAAAGGGTTTGTTAAGAACCAACCTGACTCTACACAAGTTAAAGTTTATGAAAATGACAGCATATTAAAAAATTGAGAGTGGCTAAAACCCCCAGTAAAGTAAGCAAAAGCTGTGTTATGTGAACTACAAAGCACTTAAAAGCTATAGACACCTTTCTATAGGCTCTATCACATGAACAATCTCTTAAGAATTCTTGTGTATTTATAAAATTTTTGAAGTACAACAGAACAGTGCTTTTTTGAAGTAGTTCATGTCTACTTAAAACTGGACTTCTAAAACTGTGCAGGTGTGAAATACAGATTTTAAAAAAAGGAAAGAGATAATGACTATGTGCAGTGTTAACTTATGAAATGGAAAAATGAGGTTGGATTGCTGTGCAAATAGTCTCTTAGAGATTAGATAAAACCCAGAAGAAGAACAAAATACAAAGTAAGCATGCAAGAGATCTGGAACGCTGAAGATTCACAGACATCTGGACTGTAAGTACAAAAAACCCAATCTGTAAATACAAATTGATTCCATCAGGTTTACTATACAGTACTTTAGTAGTAACAGACAGTTGAAAACAGCTTTCACTTAACAGCAAAATTAATTTTAGAGGGAAGAAAATGGTGAAGTCTCATCCAGGAGAACAGCAAGAGAGGTAATATATTAAGGAGCTAAAATTTTCTTTGGCATGGTAAAAGGGGAGAACTGAGTTTGCCAACCTATTTACATGAAGTTTCACCATCCTGTGGCCAGTGCAATGATGTTTTGCACAGTCTACTTCTTACATAAACTTTTTTGTTGTTTTCTGGTATGCCTTCATATAAATCTTTTATTCATCAGGTTGAATCTGTGCATACAACAAATAAGAATAAACACAAACTATACAATGCAGACAAACTCTTTGCATATATGTATGTAAATTCAGTAATACAGACCAACAGTTCTTTGACAGACACAACCTACTACATGCAGTTCATCCTTGCCATCCTCTTCTCATGCAACAAGACAAGACAAAAGACAAAATTAGAGGGATGAAACAAAGCACAAAGACCCCTTTGCTATGTTTAAACAGGTTGTAGAAAAAAAAAATATTTTTAGGACTTATATATTTGGTGGATTAAACACATGTGGATGGATTAAACACATGTGGATGTAGGCCATAGAAACAAACCCAGAAAATAATTTTTTAAAAATTGCTGTATTTCCAGTAGGTGCTTACAGAGATTAAATCTGACCTTAATTATAGCCCCCCAAACTGGTTCACAGATCATAATTACTGAGGATCAAAAGTTTAATGTTGAAAACAATACTTATGTAGCATCAGGCCATGAACCAGAACCTCCTTGCTCGGCTCAGCCCGCCTTGTCTCTCCCCACGCTCTTACGCTGGGAGAGTAAAAAGTCATCTGGATGGTACATGAACACGTGTATTCTCTCCTCATGAACTCTTACGAAATCCAGGTGAGAGAGAAAGAGCGCAGCCTTCAGCTGTACTATCTTACTCAAAATATTGTGAAATGCTCCTCTTACAACTGTGTGAAAGCCTGGGGCTTCCTTCTGGGACCCAGCAGACAGTACATCAGGGCTGCTGCCTCCCATGGGTCCTCCAGATGCACAGCAAGTCCCCAGCTCGCTGTGTGAGTTGCTTTGGTTTGGTTTTGTTTTCTCAGGGACGGTGCACAAATCCCATGGGGCCAGATGGGATGAGAAGGGTGCACCCAAGTTTTTAATAAAGTGTTGCTTTCCCCATGCACACATATTTAATGCTAGTGGGCCAGGGCACAGTCTAAGTCCAAGTTTCTTCGCATTTTTATCACAGTATTAAGAGTAGATTTATATTTTTTATTCTCTGGATGGATAGCAGGCTTCATGCTTAACTCATTCCTTCCCTAGAAAGGCCCAACACAGCATTAGTTTGCTGTTCTCGTAATATAGATAGAAACAAGGAAGTCTGGCCTACAAAAAAAAAAAGTTTATATAGAATTTAGCAGCCTTACAATAACCTCCTTGGAGAGTGCACTAAATGTTGCTTATAAAAATAGAACACATTTGAAAACTAACATCAGGATTTCATTCAGACTGAAATCAGTTGTTCAGCTGAGCAGACATGGACTTTGAAATAACCAGTGATGTCTGTTAGGGACTTCAGCACAAAGATGAGATAAAATTGCCCAAAACACAAGGCTAAAAAAGGAATGGATGATTTCCATTTTTTGTCTTTAAATATCAAGCTAACAGCAAGAGGCCAAGAGAGTGTTGCCACACAGTTTTCTAGACTGAGGTACAGTTTGGTCCTTGTTGCCTTTTCTGAGAAATTTTTAAGCATCCAGAGAGTACCATAATTTTAGTCTCCTGAAAGCCTGTGACTAAGCGTGAAACACTTCAGTGGCATCCACTAAATCTCGTTCTCCCCTCCCACAAAACATTGCTTTAATTGTTCACAGGTGACAAACTCAAAGGGTTGATGTTGTTTCTGGTCATAGGATTCAAGGCTTCGATTTTGTGTTTTTGATTTCTTCCAGGTTCATGTAAGAGAAAGTACAGTATACAGAGATCAAGGCAAGGCACCTTCAATCTAGCAATTTTGTGGGCATATTATCCTAGGAAGCTGAGTGGAGGTATGTGCTGGGATATCAGTGAGATACATAGGACCGGACTTGGCATGCTTACCTAAAAATAAAAATAAAGTCTTGTAATATGTCCAGTTTTAAAACTTTTTTTTTTTTTTAAAACACCAGAAATATTAAACTATGATTCATAACTACCCTTTGCATTGGTGCTGCAAAAAAGAACACAACAACATCCTTGCCCATGCTTTGCTAAGTAGGTGTGGGATTCAGCCCAAAATAACAATGGCATTAAGTTTAGTTCCTTAAAAACAGGAAAGGATTGTATTTCAAATGGATTTAGGTAGCGCAATTCTGGTTAGTCTTACTTTTTTTTTTTTTTTTAATTGGTGGTGGTTGTTTTTCAAACAATGAAGATTTAGTAGATGAGAAATGAGCCTTAATTCAGGCCTACAAGGCCTACAAAATTCTTTGGACCCACTTTCCCAAAAATGAGTGGGTCTTGCTCGCTGGGCAAGGCAAATGTTACCATTACCAGTAAGCCTGTGATATGTATAAAATACACACACAAAAAGAAACTCTAGGGGGATGCCAAACACTCGGTCCAGAAAACTTCCTGTTGCTTGTGTTTGGCACTCTTCCCTCCACTATAATGCCAACCTCAGAAGCACAGTATCTGTTACTAGAGTATTCACATTTAATCGATATTGTAAGCCAGAGAAAACAATCCTATTCTTTATAGATATAATTTGTAATAATAATTTTTGAAGGCTTCCTGTTTCCCTGATTGCTTTCAAAACTAAGCCACCGGCAAACACTTATGTTATAGAGAAACACAATCCCTGCAAAAGGTCACAGACAGTGGAGCGAGCAGCCTTATAAAAAAGGGAAGAAGAGAAATCCATAATAGCACAGGTTTACAGCATCTAACTAGAAATTACTTGATTATTTGTGTGCTACAAAATAGAACTTAAACACATGGGTTTTGCTGAAACTGGACTCAAAAAGGGATTATGGGCAATTGTCAGCAGGCAAGGTATCAAGTGTACTTGTGAAGTATGTCATTCACATGAAGTGTCACAGTCACAGAAAAGATATTAAAAAGGCATTCCAATATCTGGTAGGGCATTCCATGGTCTGAGTTTAGCTGGTTCATCCAGGTGTCTTCTGGTTGTGGGTGGAGCTACATGTTGAGATTTATCCGCTTGCAACAACTGAGTTCAGAAACAGCAACGGGCAAGTCGGGGACTTGCCGCCAGCTGATCCGCAGACACTGCCGAGGGGAAGTCTGGCAAGGATAAATCACCCAACTGTGCTCGGGGCTGAGCGAGTCACAACACCTGCCAGGATCTGGCTATGTCGTCTTGCTCTTGGTAACTGGTTTGCCGCCATTCATTATTGCAGATGCACTTGTGCTTTTACTCGGAGTCACCCCAGCCTTTGGCACTGTTTCTCCAATATCATGCAAAGATGGTTCTCGATACATGGCAACTGAGGGGAGAAAGGGAAAAGGAGAGAGATTGAGAATGTGTCAGTGTGTCTCAAATAGGATTTATTTTCCACAATAACTGATATTGTAATACAATCCACGCTCCTCTTCCATGCAGGGGAAAATGTTTACTTCAACAAACACTTGTTTTTCATAACTGATAGCTTTGATTGACCCCCCAAACTTCTCACTTATTCCATATCTGACTTAAAAACACTTCTTCACTGTGACAGAGCACTGGAATGAGGTGCCCAGAGAGTTTGTGGAGACTCCTTTCAAAACCCACCTGGATGCAGTGAAATCTGCTCTAGGTGAAGCTGCTTTGGCCAGGGGGGTTGGACTAGATGATCTGCAGAAGTCCCTTCCAACCACTAGTACTCTCGAATTCTGTGATTCTGTGAAATTTGTATGCTTGCTTGTTTAACAGAAACTATAGAAGCCTTAGAAATGAAAAATCTACTGTTCTGTCTTTGCATGAGGCAGACACATAAAAATGTACATACATATACACACACACATCTATATATACACCCCTCTTAAACAAATAGTCTTCACATTTTTAGGAGTAAAATATGACAAGACAGATGGTATTTAACAAATGGTATCATAGGATACAGTTGTCTAGACTTAAGTGTTCTTTTTTAGTCCTACATTGCACAACTAGGCTTGGGTCCAGTTCTACACATTTGTTTGTACATCTGTTTTCCAAATCTGAGGATTTTGGCCATGATCTCCTCAGGTGTGGACTGAAGAAATGTCCAGGAGAGTGCTGAGCAAAGTACACAAGAGGCTTGGGTTTGTTTCTTTCTCCTTTTCAAAAATATGTGCAGTAGCCACTGATCTCCACTGAATGTAGAAATGCAGAAAACTCCAAAATATACTATTAACTGAATTCTTAGAGGAATTAAAAGTTTGCCCCTGGGCTTCGGTCCCTATCTAACCACTTTAAACCCTTTGAGAAAAATACATGTGCTCAATTACACAGTTCCAGCATTAAGCTGCCTTAATGATTAATGCTCTTGGATAATTCAATTTCATTTTCCATGTCACTGAATTAGGTAATATTTCCACTTATACCTAACTTCAGTAGCATTTATTTATATCAGAGCAATGTTAAAAGAGATGTCAAAGCAGTCAAAGGAATTAATCATTACACTATGATTCTGGGACTGCCTGGGTGCTGCCAAAGAGAGCAGAATCCCTTCATCCCTTGGCTAATTAGAGTAGGAGGCTGGAGCATCAAAGTACTGACCTTAATCTTCCGTGGTGTGAAGTTTTGAAATAAATATGAAGGGCCCCATAGTATCATTAACTAATCAAATACTTGTTCTAACATTTCCAGTGACATAATCTAAATCCTTTTATGGCTTCTCAAAGTCTGAAATTAAACGTCTTCCCTAGACTACATAAGGCTGGTTATGATCTGTGTCTTCAGAGTACCCCTGTAACTGTGTTTAGGATACTTTGCTGATTAATTAAAAGAGCTTGATGAAATAACACCATGACCCACAAAAATATTAAGTCAAATAACATGAGATAGAACCTGGAGTACTGCATCCAGTTCTGGAACCCCATTACAAGAGGGACGTGGACCTGCTGGAGCGTGCCCAGAGAAGGGCCACCAGAATGATCCGAGGGCTGGAGCAGCTCTCCTACGAGGAGAGACTGAGAGAGTTGGGGCTGTTCAGTCTGGAGAAGAGAAGGCTCCAAGGTGACCTTATTGTGGCCTTCCAGTATCTTAGGGGGGCCTACAAGAAAGCTGGGGAGGGACTTTTTAGGATATCGAGTAACAACAGAACTAGGGGGAATGGGGCAAAGCTGGAAGTGGGCAGATTCAGGCTGGAGATGAGGAAGAAGTTCTTCACCATGAGAGTGGTGAGACCCTGGAATGGGTTGCCCAGGGAGGTGGTTGAGGCCCCATCCCTGGGGGTCTTTAAGGCCAG